TGAGATCAGACTCTGCACCAATGCAAAGTGTGCCGCTGGCACCAGTCTCTGCCCGGCACCAATCCCTGTCCACGGTGCCTGCTAAGAAGCAGAGGATGCACACAGGTAGAGGGCGCTTCCCAATGTCCCATACGAGGAAGGAGAAATCCGAAGAGGAGCATAGGCCTGCGCATGGTAGTACATCTTTTCTGGAGCTCAGCCAGGCACCTACATTGCCAGCTAGGCTATCTAGCCCCCCCAGGGACCCACCAGCCACTCCAGGTAGTGGCAGAGGCCCCGGCACCTGGAGGTTCCATCCACGCCGGAGGCTTTCCAGGCTGCTAAAGACATGTCTTTGCTGGTGCCACCGATGCCCCGTCAAGACGTCATCTTCTCGAGAGTGAAGCTGGCACTGGGACCCGCACAACGTTTCCCATCCATGCGGCATCACTCCCTGGCACTGCGGCAGTTGGTGTCGAAGCAGCGATCCCCGGGGACACGCTTTCAACTCTCCCCTACTGACCAGAGCTCCTGGCACCATTTGCCTGACTCTGCATTGGTCCCCTGAGCCATGGCATGGCTCGCCAGACAGTTGGCGCAGAACCGAACCACGCCACCGGTTGCTGGAGCATGGTTGTCATTCCTTGTGGCAACGGTGGTCACCGGAGCCACAACATCGGTCCCTGGAACCACGCCCGAGATCGGAGACGCTGATTGCTGGACTTGTGGCACTGATCCCCGGGGTCGAGATGGTGCTCTCTGCTATCCCATTCTCATTCGCCAGAGTCCTGGTACTGATCCCAAAGCTCTAGGTGGTCGATTGCCGGTGTACTGTTGCCGATCCGCCGAGCTCCACTGCCAGTCCTGCGACAGACGGCACTGAGACCCCGAATCCCGGCACCTCTCCCCCAGCGGCAAGCGCTTGGATGGTAGGGGTGGAAGGGATTTGGACACAGCGTCGGCACCATCATGGTCCCTGTGACATTACACCCCATATTCTTCATGGAAATATTGTTATAATATTATTATAGCATAACTATAATGTATTTTATACAAGATGAGTCATGTGAGATATCATTGGAAAGGTTATGATTTACTGAATATGATTATCCTATTTGTATGCGTATATCATTTCTGTATTTGACGTTAGGATTATTGACTATGTATCAATTACAAGTGGGTTTACACCTGGGCAACCGCCCACCCGGCAGAATGCAATTAGTCTGGGTGGACTATTAGGGAGAACAATAGGTCTCTGAAGATGCTAATCTCCCACCTTCCTGAGAAGTTTCCTGGGATGCTACAAACAACCTTTGACTCATGGCAGCTTTGACACTGGAGGGTCATGTGATCATGTCACCTGGTACTGGACTCCGTGATAAAATACCAGTATTTTTCCATGTGGGATGGAGAGCGGACCACACTGGAAAACAAAGGGTTCCCACCATATGTAAAACCTACTTAAGGCTGGAGAGTGACTTGATCAGTGTTCGTTCTTCACTGAATCCCCGTCCAGGATGATGCTGGAAACGTCTAAGAAACAAAGGAAAAAAGTGGGGGAGAAGAGCTGAGCCCAGGCTGGAAAAGATGTCTGACTTGTGAAAGAAATGCCTAAAACAACATTTAGGGTGAGAAATTACTACTTGTAACCAGTTTAAGCTTAGTTTGCATGTTTGTTTTATTTGTTCAGTAATCTACTTTGATCTGTTTGTTAGCCCTTATAATCACTTAAAATCTATCTTGTGTAGTTAATAAACTTGTTTTTGTTTTCTCTAAAACTGGTTTGTGGAATTCATAACTGGGGGGCAAAAAGCTGTGCATATCTTCCTCCACATTGAGGGAGGGGGAGAATTTCATAAGCTTACACTGTACAGTTCTCTGTGCAGCACAAGACAATACTATTTTGGGTTTGCATCCGAGAGGGGATGTGCACTTAAGTGCTGCTTGAGGGCCTGGCTCAGCAGGACAGTGTAAGGGAGTCCAGGCTGGTGGAATTGGTGGGCTCAGTGGTACCCCCAATAATCACACACACCCAACTGCAGTTAACATGCACAATCCCTTATGTAATTCACCTAATAATCACACGACAGCTATGGGCACTATATTCAATATATGCACATAATTCTAGGGATGAAGTGGAACCAGTTCACAGAACATAAATTATCACAATCATCTCCCTGTTTCTGAGAGGTCCAGACCTCTCAGATCTGCCATCTCGCTGTATGCTGTTCCAGGGAAAGTCTTCTCATCAGCCAGTACCTTCTCAAATCACTGCTTTAAGTATTCATTTTGAAGCCCTTTCACTGGGGAATATCTTTAAACCTCTCACCCTTGGAAAGCAAGAAGAAAAAATGCTTCAGACTTTAGAGATTATGGCTCAGGGCTATGCAGCGTTCCAGGGCTCTGTCCTGAGCAAAATGTCAAACACATTAAGTGGAGAAGGCTGATTTCCATTTTTAATAATGGTCTACGTGATAGCAGAACATTTAGGACTATATATGGTAACCTCCCTGTCACAGTTACGGGACTAGCTGCACCTCTGTCCCTTTTCTGGTCTCTCATTCGGCCACTCCCTGATTGTGCGTTCATTTACACCAGTTCCACATTCTATTTGCTGAAACTGAAGTTTATACTGAATTTTTGACATCGTTAGCCTTTAGAGTTAACAGTTGATTAAAGTAGTGCTTTGCAGTGGAGCTCACACATCTGTGAGCCACTGTTTCGGGCTCTTCGCAGAGTCAGGAAAACAACACTGTCTCACTTTATACTCAGTAAATATTGTGAAGGTTTGCTTCACAACCAGGAGGAATAGAACTTTTTTTTTTTAAAGTAAAATCTTCAATTCTGCAGAATCTGAATATCCCATATGACCAACAGACAGATGGACATGCCTCAGGACTAACAGCTTGTGTGTTTCAATTGTATTACTGTTAGATGCCCCCACCTTATTATCAGTCAGTCTTGTGTCTCAGGAACTTTTATAGTGGGTAGGGGACCTTTGCCAATTCAGTGCTGGGGAGATGTAATTGGAGAGTTGGGGGTTAAAAGGAAGAGCAATGGGCAATTGTGAACACAGGAAGATTAGGAATGCCCGAAGGTTACGAAGGCCAGCAGGCCCTCCAGTGCCTGCAGGACCTTCCAGCATCACAGGAAATTAATCATGTTAGATATACTGACTTAATTTTTTTCAGAGTGGTAGCCGTGTTAGTCTCTACCAGCAAAAACAACGAGGAGTCCTTGTGGCATCTTAGAGACTAACAAATTTATTTGGGCATAAGCTTTCGTGGGCTAAAACCTGATGAAGTGGGTTTTAGCCCACGAAAGCTTATGCCCAAATAAATTTGTTAGTCTGGTGCCACAAAGACTCTTCGTTGGTTTTGACTTATTTTTCTTAACGTTGATGTATAAATGTCATCATTTCCTCCCCTGCTTTGGCTGCTTTAGGAGTCTGATATTATGATATTGACATTATGTAAAAGTTCCATAACAACTTGCTTATTGACTTTAAGAAATACCTATCTCCATGACAGACACTTCAATAAAATCCTTCAATCCACTCCTTCCCCATATACTAGAGGGAGAACCTGAGGTGAGTCCAGTGTTTGAGATTCCTACCGAAGCAGTTTCTATCAGAAGTGTTGGGAGCAGCGAATTCTAAATGTCCATTATCCACTGAGAATAAAAGCCCCTCTGTGTGTGTAACCTAAATGTAACCAGTGCTGGTGTGATGTGAATCTGTGTATGTGTGTGTTGAGGGCAGCGTGCCAGTGCTCCGTGTCTGTGTGTGTCCTGGCAATGCTGTCTGCTTACCTACAACAAGCACATGGAGTGTTTTCAGCGCTTCATAAAGCCCTGTAATTAATAGTGGATAGTACCTGTAACACCATCCACCCACAGAGTATCACAGACCACCTCTTTGTGGCAGGGCAGTAATATCTCCATTTTACAGGGGTAATAGCAGAAAGGTTATAAGATTTGTCAAGTCAGTGGCAGAGCCAAAATTAGAACCTGGCTTTTCCAGTTGTTGTTACAATTGCTATTATTATCTGTACCTTGTTGGTGTGCTGGGTGCTGTATTGAACTCAGAGGGGAAAAAGTCCCTGTGCCAAGGAGTTTACTATCTAAATTAGATACATCTCAGTTGAGTCTCACCATTCATCAAGTGGTGATCTTCCCTCACAGCATTGCAGACTTGTTTCCTGCTGTAATGCTCCTTGACGAACAGCATCACTTTGAGCTCAGCACAAAGATCAAACGGAGTCAGATTGGGGGTGGGGAGGGGAAAGTGTCAGTATTCTTCCAAGTTCTACCCACAAATTGAGCTCCGCCCATGTGAGTTGTCAAAATGAGACACTGCTCATGGTAGATTGTAAGAACAGTCAAAATATGATGACGTGTGCTCTCTGAGGGCAAATGGGCACCTGAGCTTCAATATACTCATGGCTTCAGTGAGGCTTCAGTATACCCAGGGCTTCTGCTAAGCCACGTGGGCTTGGCTACTTTGTTGGGGGAAAAGAAAATCAGTGGTGGCATCCAGCATGCACCACCCCTTGTGGCACCTACTGGCAGCGGTTTGTACAAATCTGTGACCCACCCTCTCCTTTTTTGCATGAGGAATGAAAGCATTAATAAGCTTGACTAGGCAGCTGAGTTTACACTTTGATGAAATGAATGGGGTAGTTCACACCTCTCAGCCTAGGTGCTGGAACTAGGGATGCTGGGGGTGTGGCAGCATCCCCTGGCTTGAAGTGGTTTCCATCATATACAGGGTTTACAGTTCGTTTCAATGGCTCTCAGCACCCCCACTATACAAATTGTTCCAGCACCTCTGCCTCTCAGAGCTATTGTTCCAGACTCTGCATCGATTACACATTTGGGTCACAGTTGTGAGGTTTTCTTTGCAACTATAACAGTTGAAGGGTTTGTTTGTTTTTAATGAAAGCTGGGGTTTTGGAAAGCAATTTAATGCTTTCCAAGAGGTGCCAGGATAGCATGTGGAGCTTGCTGGTTGTTTCCAACAGGTGATGGGAAGTGATAGCTTTCCATGAAGAAAGAGCTGTGGTCTTGCCAGAGAGTGACTAGCCCATGGATTCTGAAGAGATGAACAGTTCCTCTGAAGGAGGCTCGGTCTTGCCCTTTTTCATAGTCATCTCCTGTCTGCCCATTTCTGGCTGTTGCTCTTTAAGACTGACTGACTTTTCAAAATTACCTTTCAAGATTGGGTGGAAGTGCCTGCAGAGAACAAATGGGGGCCTGCAATGTGTCCCAAAATAACAGCTCTGTATTTCCACGCTGGCTTAGATGCTGCCTGGATAAACCTGTGCAGGAAATGAGGAGAGAGCTGCTGCTACTCAGAGACTCGCAAGGTTAGTGATATAAATAAATTATAATGTGATGCTTTTGTCCTTAGAGAATTTAATACACTAAGACGGGTGGGGAATCGACGGCCCACAGGCCAGATTCGGCCTGCTGCTTCATTTCATCCAGCTCGCAGCAAGTCTTCGCGCTGTGGGCTGGAAGCCCCCTTCAGGTAGTTGAAGGCTGCTATCAAATCCCCCATCACTCTTCTCTTCTCCAGACTAAACAAGCCCAGTTCCCTCAGCCTCTCCTCGTAAGTCAAGTGCCCCAGCCCCCTGATCATTTTCGTTGCCCTTGGCTGGACTCTCTCCAATTTGTCCACATCCTTTCTGTAGTGGGGGACCCAAAACTGGACGCAATACTCCAGATGTGGCTTCACCAGTGCCGAATAGAGGGGAATAATCACTTCCCTCGATCTGCTGGCAATGCTCCTACTGATGCAGCCCAATATGCCGTTAGCCTTCTTGGCAACAAGGGCACACTGCTGACTCATATCCAGCTTCTCATCCACTCTAATCCCCAGGTTCTTTTCTGCAGAACTGCCGCTTAGCCAGTCTGTCCCCATCCTGTAGCAGTGCATGGGATTCTTCTGTCCTAAGTGCAGGACTCTGCACTTGTCCTTGTTGAACCTCATCAGATTTCTTTTGGCCCAATCCTCCAATTTGTCTAGACCACTCTGGACCCTATCCCTACCCTCCAGCGTATCTACATCTCCCCCCAGCTTAGTGTCATCTGTGAACTTGCTGAGGGTGCAATCTATCCCATCGTCCAGATCATTAACAAAGATGTTGAACAAAACCGGCCCCAGGACCAACCCCTGGGGCACGCCACTTGATACCGGCTGCCAACTAGACATTGAGCCGTTGATCACTACCTGTTGAGCCCGACAGTCTAGCCAGCTTTTTATCCACTTTATAGTCCATATGGGGCCTAGGGGCCTGATATGCCAGCCGCTTCCGGGAGCAGCACCTTAGCCCACTGCGCTGCTGACCAGGAGCCGCCTGAGGTCAGCTGGCTTCATTTCAGCTGCCCAGCCAGAGCCTGCACCCCAAACCCCCTGCCCCAGGTTGGAACCCCCTCCCGCACCTTAACTCCCTCCCAGACCCCACTCCCCAACCCCCTGCCCCAGCCCTGAGCCCACTCCTGCACTCCAAACCCCTTGGCCCCAGCCTGGAGCCCCCTCCTGTACCCCAAACCTTCCCCCGCTGAGGCGGGAAGCCCCAAGGGTCCATGCCCCCCACCCTTGCGGGGCTGTATATGGCCCATGACTGATTTTTTTCTGTGGGTCAATGGCCCCTGATAGAAAAAAGGTTCCCCACCCCTGCTCTAAGAAATGAGGATTGAGTTACTGTCCAGTGCAGTCTCTCCAGAAGGCCTGTGATCATATTCAGCACTGAATAAAGTAGCCATCTTTCTGAAAAGCAGCTAGGAGCCTTTGTTTCCAAAGGATGCAACGAGAGAGGGGCACAGAGAATCAAACCCAAACACAGTGTGATGCTCTGACCTGGGCGGACTGTCCGGTGCCCTCAGACAGACTGGAGGGATCTGTCTCAGTTTACATTTTGATAACATTTGCCATGACCATTAAATATTAGAGTAAGATGCATCAGGGATGGGAAGGAGTGATCCTAATAGGGATATTCCAAAGGGCCTCAGGGAAATGAGTGCTGCTGATCTTTGAAGCTTCTCCCTGGGGTTCTACTGGTACAGCTGAGCCAACTATGACCTTTCACACTTAGATGGATGGTTAACATAGCAATGGATGCAGAATAGTGTTAGTCTGTGAATTGGTCAATAAGAGAAGCCTGGCTTATTTTGTTCCCTTTATTGGACTAGTGCTGAGGGTCAATATTGATTGCTGCAGATGTTCTTTAATCGGATATGAATGGAGCTCGAGGAAATGTATGTTTTTTGAAACTGGAGGATGTGTAATAAGAACCAGCATTGTTCCTGGGAGCTTGTCAGGGTCTGTTTTGTATGAGTCTGAGTAAAAAAACCCAGAACAGGAACTATCCTTGTGAGACTTTCAAGTGACATTGTTCTGAAATGCTACTATATGGGGTCAAAAATCTGAGGAAGAGAACTTGAAGCTGGGATTGGAGGTGTGAGAAGAGAGGGAAGAAGTAGGATGCAAAGAACAATATGATTTCTCTGAACACTGACCGTTTTGCTTGATTCAAATGCAGAACAGTTTGATTCTATAAACTGAGACCCACCTATACTGTAAAAAAAAGTTTAAAATATATTTCAGTTCTATAGTGTAGCCAGAAATGAACTGTATTTTTTTCTGAACCATGGTGTATTATCATCATGATATATTGCTCTTGAGTAATACTCATAATGTACTAGGTTTCTCTAAACATATAGCCCCTGTCCTGGAGAACTCACAATACACAACCCTGCTAAAGCCAATGTCTGTAGTACAGTCCAGGAGCATGGTTAAACGAGGCTCACTTCTGTCTGTATTGCCAGGACATACAGTGTTTTAGCTATTGTGCGGGGTTTCTGAGTTTGAATCAACTCCCTGACATGCTAGTTTTTACAGTATAAATAGGATCTTCTGCCAGAGGTGGCATTGTTGGGTCACAGGATCTATGCTTTGGCCAGATTTCTCTTGAGGAAACATGAATATTGATTCCCTGTTTCTCAGATAACCAATCCAAGTTCTGGGTCTACAATGAAAATCTTGGTAATGGGGATCTCCACCAACAAATGAAGTCATCTGGTAAAAGTGTCCCAGGAATATCTGTAATATTTCAGCCTCTCAACAATCTTATTTTACTCTGTGCTTGTCACCTTAACACCCTGCTGCACAAACAAAGCCATTGATGCTTCCATGGGCTTCCTGCTTTTGATATTCTTTAATAATTTTTCATTTGTTGTTATATCTCTGGCTATTTGGTCTCTAGATTTAGCCACTGTTCTCTTCACCCACCTCTTCTCATAATAAAAGTACGATGTTGAAGGACTGTGATTTGTGTAAACCTTCGCTCCTAGCTCCAGAGGGTAACAGCTTTCTCTCTCTTGCAGAATGTTTACCATGTCTCTGGGAACTTTCCTTCTTCCTGCTCTCTGTTTCCTGGGGGCAGTGATTCCAAGGGGACTGCAGTATGTCACCTTTTCACACAACACCACAAAATTCCTTCACCTGACTATAGACTCTGAGTCTGGGACCCTTTATCTGGGGGCCACCAACTTTCTTTTCCAATTGACATCAGACCTGATGATGGAGAGCGCAGTTCAAACTGGGCCAGTTTTGGACAGCAAAGATTGTCTCCCCCCTGTCTCAAAGCTGGAATGTCCCCAGGCACACAACACTGACAATCACAACAAGCTGTTACTGGTGAACTCTGTGCAGGAGGAGCTCATTGTGTGTGGCAGTGTGCACCAGGGTATCTGTGAAAAAAGAAGCCTCAGATCCATTGACCACGTTCTCTTCCGACCGGAGAGCCCTGGAGACACTCAGTATGTGGCTGCAAATGACCCAAATATCACTACTGTGGGACTAGTAGGCCACTCAAAAGATGACGTGCCCCTGCTGTTTGTGGGACGAGGGTATACCAGCAGAGGGGTTGGAGGGGGTATCCCTCCTATCACCACCCGAAATCTCAGGGCCCATGTGGGGGACATGCAAGGGGCAGACTCTCACTCCATCTTCTCCTATGAAGAAACGGCTAAGTTGGCTGTGGGTCGGCTCTCTGAGTATAACCACCATTTCATCAAATCCTTTACCCACCGCTCCAGCGTTTACTTCCTGTTTTATCGCCGGGATCTGAAGTCCCAGTCACGGGAGTACAAGACCTACATCTCACGAATCTGTCTGGATGACTCTCACTATTACTCCTATGTGGAATTACCACTGCTCTGTAGAAGCAAAGAGAAAACATACAGCCTACTGCAGGCTGCTTATGTCACCCAACCAGGCAGTGATCTGAGAAGAGGGAGGTTCAGCACCCAAGGAGAAGTGCTGTTCACTGCCTTTTCTGCCTGGCAGGCTTCGTCTGGCAGACTGAGCGAGGAGTCTGCACTCTGTGTCTATTCAATGGAGGAAGTGGACCAACTGACCACTCGGACCAGGGATGTTTGTTATACGAAGGATGGGAAATCAGAGAAGGGGATAGAAGTGGCATATATTGAATACGATGTCAGTTCCAACTGTGTCCAGCTGCCAGCGGTAAGTGGCTGTCCTGAGCCTGATTATTGTTTACATTGTGTCTGTGTTACATCCTTCTGGCAGTGTAAACAGGCCTAAAAATGAGTGTAACCGATTTTGCACCCTTTTCAAGGCTTCTTTACAGTGACAGAATGGTGTAAAGGTGCCTTCCTGTAAAGGAGAATCAGGACGGATGTGTGTGCATGTGTGGGTGGTGGTGGTGGTGGGTCATAGTGGCTCTCTAATGCCATGCGGCGCTATCTGCAATTCCAGTGTAAACCCCATTTTCCAGGGATTTATAATTAAATATGTTATGGGCTGAGTGCCATCCCCAGCTGTGGGTCTGTAGGAGCTAGTATCTTAAAGGACCCTGAAAGAACAGTCTATAGCTCCCACGCTACTATTAGAATATGATGTGGGAACAACTGATACTTTCCATTCAAACTCCTATCTTCCTACCACCGCTTGTTGATGCCTCTGTTCTTCCACTCCCTCAGCAGGTTTACCAGCAGAGAGAACTGAAAGAAATGGGTCACATCCTGCCATGTGGGATGCATATGGAGGGGCCAGCCTCCAGGATTGGATTCAACCTGTGGAAACATTGATTCTTGAAACCCCTAGTTATAGTGTCTTGAATTATAGTTTTTAATGATTTTGCTGAATCTGTTCCATAGGGTGGGGTGTAGTTATGTGCCTGACCCCTTGGATCCCAGACAAATGTGAAGAACACAATATACATTACAGAGGTTTCATGTGAAAGAGAACAGGAACAAAGAGATAATTTAAACAAAAGCAAGTCTCTTTGGCAGCAATTCTTTCTTTCACCATAAATCACTAGTCCTGGAAAATTTTGTGTTTGAAGAATAGTTGTCCCCACAACCTAGCTCCTCTTTCTTTTGGATTCTGTAAGACGTTCATAATCCTCTTTACGGGCATCACTTACATTTCTATGGCAACAGAAGGATGGGACATATTCACTGCAGGAAAAAGGAATATGAGTTGATAGTATGAAATAGCTTGAAAACCCTGATTCAAATAGGTATACTAACTGTTTTTGTTTGTACTGTGATATCATCAGCATTTAGAAGCTAAATAGGAGTTGACCTGCTCTGTTCTTGGAAGGGGGACTGCTAAGGAAAACCTAAATAGTGCAGGAAGTGTCCCTCTGAGACACTACTGGATTCAGTGCTCTAGCATGGTGCTGGAGATTACTTCTTTTTTAATCTGAGAACTAAAATCTGAGGCCTTGGCCACTTGTGGTTACTGAAATCCCCATGCCAGTTTTCAGTAGAGTAGGGTGTTAATCTAGTGACTTCCTTTAAAGGATAGTACATAGTATGCAGTCATCTTCTAAGTGTTGTTTTACAAAGCATGCAAGAGGTACTGCAGACTTTAGGTCTCGGGAATAATGTTAATATGGTCCAAAAGCACTTTTGAGAGTGTACCATTTCTGCTGTATTTGTAGCAGAGTTTAGAAGGCTGGCAGGAGAGCCTAGGAGTGAAGCGGGAGGCTCAGAGCAGAGGGGGCCTGAAATGAGGAAGAATATTTGTGAGTTGAGAAGCAGGGGATGCTGTAGAGTTCATGTAGAGATTCTTTGATAGGGTAACAAGCCTTGAGGATGGGAGGAAGCGGTAGACATGGTATATCTTGATTTTAATAAAGCTTTTATACTGTCCCACATGACCGTCTCATAAACAAACTAGAGAAATGCAACCTAGATGCAGCTACTATAAGGTGGGTGCAAAACTGGTTAGAAAACCATTCCCAGAGAGTTGTTATTAGTGGTTCAGAGTCATGCTGGAAAGGCATAACGAGTGGGGTCCTGCAGGGATCAGGTATGGGTCTAGTTCTGTTCAATATCTTCATCAATTATTTAGATAATGACATAGAGAGTACACGTATAAAGGTTGTGGATGATGCCAAGCTGGGAGGGGTTGCAAGTGCTTTGGAGGATAGGATTAAAATTCAAAATGATCTGGACAAACTGGAGAAATGGTTTGAAGTAAATAGGATGAAATTCAAAGTACTCAATTTAGGAAGGAACAATCAGTTGCACACATACAAAATGGGAAATGACTGTGTAGGAAGGAGTACTGTGGAAAGGGATCTGGGGGTCATAGTGGATCACAAGCTAAATATGAGTCAATAGTGTAACACTATTTCAAAAAAAGCAAACATCATTCTGGGATGTATTAGCAAGAGTGTTGTAAGCAAGACATGAGAAGTAATTCTTTTGCTCTGCTCCGCTCTGATTAGGCCTCAACTGGAGTATTATGTCTAGTTCTGGGTGCCATATTTTAGGAAAGATCTGGACAAATTGGAGAGAGTCCAGCGAAGAGCAACAAAAATGATGAAAGGTCTAGAAAACATGATCTGTGAGTGAAGATTGGAAAAATTGGGTTTGTTTTGTCTGGAAAAGAGAAGACTGGGAGGGGACATAACAGTTTTCAAGTACATAAAAGGTTGTTAGAAGGAGGAGCAATCATAGAATATCAGGGTTGGAAGGGACCTCAGGAGGTCATCTAGTCCAACCCCCTGCTCAAAGCAGGACCAATTCCCAACTAAATCATCCCAGCCAGGGCTTTGTCAAGCCTGACCTTAAAAACCTCTAAGGAAGGAGATTCCACCACCTCCCTAGGTAACCCATTCCAGTGCTTCACCACCCTCCTAGTGAAAAAGTTTTTCCTAATATCCAACCTAAACCTCCCCCACAAGAGGATAGGACAAGAAGCAATGGGCTAAAATTGCAGCAAGTGGGGTTTAGTTTGGACATTAGGAAAAACTTCCTGTCAGGGTGGTTAAGCACTGGAATAAATTGCCTAGGGAGGTTGTGGAATCTCTCTACTCCACAGCTACCCTCTTTGCCCTTAGGCTTCCTATTCTACCTAACAAACTAACATACAGATGGTCAGAGACATGCACACACCATGGTCATCCACGGGGGTTGAACCCCAGACCTTCATGTTTTTATGCATTTTCAATACAATCTGCATGCTGAAGTTGTGGTGCTGCACAGAATGAATGAAATCAAAGAGTGGGGATTTCCGAAGTGCTTGAGGGAGTTAAGTAACCAACTCTCACAGGCAGTTTTGAAAATCCTCCTTCCAAAACAAATAGCGCATAATACTCTCCTGATTGAACTGGATGGGAGAGGGATATCGAGGGGTCTAGTATTCCAAGGTCCCTGCTGTACAGTTCAGGTTTTATCTGCCACATAAGACATGGGATCTTATTAACAGATTTATCCAATGGCATGTGAATTTCTCAGCAGACTTCATCCTCCACCATTCAATGTGTGGACGCGGTTGTCATTAAAATTTTATCTAACAGCATGTAAACTTCTGTGCCAGCTCCAGCCTGCTTCATTCAGTGTGTGAGTGGAAGCGGCTGTCAATGAACATTTTATTCAGAGGGAGTTTAACTCCTTCAACTTCAATGGCGGCAGCTCATACATTATTTAGGAATAATGCTAATTAAATGTGTACTTTGTGTCTCCTTGTAAACTAGCTTCTGCACAAGGTTTATGTTGGAAACCTTTTCCCGGGTTAGCATCGGACTCTATTTTCAGTATATGGGGATAGAAATATTAGACATTTCACAACCATTTCAATACAGCCCTTCAGGGTGGATTTGATTTAAATCACTAGTCAGGAAGACTCGATTTAATCATAGATTTTTACATAAAAGTGCATTCTTGTTGGTTGTTATAACTTTAATACATATTCCTCACAGCTCAGAGATAGATGTAGGTTTAATTTTAGAAGGTACACACTATACGTTTTTAAAGTGATCTATTTTGAAAACTTTTCAGATTAGTTTTACAGCTATATCAGAAAATGAATGATTGTTCGGTTATTTCATTTACCAAAGGTAATTGAAGCAGATATTTATGAAGTCACTGGGAGGTGAACTATCTCCAAGTCAACAAGTTAATCATTAATATTTGGAGGATTTTCTTGCCATGCTGTATTAGGAGGAGAACATCACCAGACAGACATTTAAATTGTTTTATTTAACTAAAACAACGTTATGTATTCTGGATTTTTTTCTTCAACAGCAAACATATAATATTTTAACAAAACAAGCATATGAATTTTTGAATTTAAACATTCAAGTTTTTTAAAATCAGGTTTGTTTTTGTTAAAATTGTTTTTACCTAAAATAGTTACATGAAATATTAAAACAAAACAAAAAATTAAAGTGACTATGTCAGCCAGGTCAACATGAGAAACTTAAAATATTGGCTTCTGCAGCTAACTCAGTCGTCCTCACCTTCATTTTCCTGTTTGTTCATAATCTGGAAAAGAAAAACAAGCTTTCCTGCTTTTTCAGGTCCCAAACGATTTCTCAATTTGGAATGAATTAGTCCAAAGGAAGAAAATATTCTTTCTACACCAGCAGAAGAAGCTACTGCTGTTAAAAGTGAGATTATCACTTCAACAGTCTCTGAATCCAAGTGCTTAAGTGACTTCCACCAGTTCACTGGTGTGACTTGCTTTAAAACATCAGCAAACATATATTTCTTGAATGGTTCTTATTCATAGAATCATAAAATATCAGGGTTGGAAGGAACCTCAGGAGGTCATCTAGTCCAGTGGTTATCAAACTAGGGCCACCGCTTGTTCAGGGAAAGCCCCTGGCGGGCCGGGCCGGTTTGTTTACCTGCCACGTCCGCAGGTTCGGCCGATCGCTGCTCCCACTGGCCGCGGTTCGCTACTCCAGGCCAATGGGGGCTGCAGGAAGGGCGGCCAGTTAACCTAACAGGTAATCCTGCCATCCATCTGACAAACAGAGGCTAGGGACACCATTCCTTACCCATCCTGGCTAATAGCTATTAATGAATTTAACATCCATGAATTTATCTAGTTCTCTTTCATGGAGGTTAAATCCATTAATGGCTCTTACCAGGATGGGTAAGGAATGGTGTCCCTAGCCTCTGTTTGTCAGAGGGTGGAGATGGATTACCTGTTAGGTTCACTCCCTCTGGGACACTTGGCATTGGTCACTGTCGGTAGACAGG